GGTGAACACGAATTGCTGCTGTGTCTCCCCAGTGGAAACCATTTTGGGTCTGACTGGAGCCACCATGGGTAGCCTCATCTGCTTCATATGCCCGGCTCTTATCTACAGAAAGATCCAGAAGAATAGCATCATAGCTCAGGTACCATCGTCAGACCTCGTGTAGCCCAAAAAAAAAAAAGGAAAAAATCCTTTTCAACAACTTACAGCATGTCTCTTGTTTCTCCCGATAGCTCGTGCTTTGCGTGGGTCTGGGCATCCTTCTCATCAGCACCTTCACCACTTTGTCCATCTCGGCCCAAGGCCCCGCGACCAAAGTCCAAGCTCCCCCTCCTCCGGCACCCGACAAGAGCAACGTGCAACTACCAGACGTCATTGAGCGGCACGGTAAAACACGTGACTGGTGGCTCCAACACGTTAAACTAATGAGGCTCACGTTTACTTCAAAAGATGGTCGCCGTGACCTGCACGAGCAACGTAAGGAATATGTGATTCCATAGTAAGGGTCCAGGGGGGAAAAAAACGAAAGAAAAGAGATAAAGCGATATTATTTTTCATCCCATGCCCAACAGAATGACTGATAGGGAGACAGGCAAGGCAAGAAGATAAGACTTTGATAGTATCTCTGAGCATCTCTGAGCTGGGTGACATTGATGGAGCAAGAATGATGCCCTTCAGACTGAGGCAATTTTCTCCACACCCCTTTTCCTCATTTCCTCTTGACACCCCCCCCCCCCACCACCAGATTCCGTCTTTTCACCACCTTCTTCCAATATCTCCCCGGGCGCCTCAAAAAGGCCTTTAAGCTGCGTCTCTATAAAGTAGAAGGAGGTCATATTAGTTTGGTAGCGAGAGCGGCTGGAGGTAAAGAAAGAAAGTTGATGTGTTCACTTTCCAGATCGTTTCGCTTGCCCGCGATGGTTTGACAGTCATCTGCTGAGATCTGTCGCCCCCGGTTTGCTCTCGCATCCTTTGCCCGTTTCCTGTTTGTCACCTCCGTCTCATCTTATTGCCATGGATGCAATCTGCGTCTTTTCTATTTTATTTTATTTTATTTTTTTTGTCCCGTGGTGTTCTTGCCAGCATAGACTGCCACCTAGTGGAGGTATTGCCGTCGACATCAATGCATCTGCATTGCACCGTTCAACATATTTGAAGTTGTTCGGTCAATAAATTAACATCAGGGCCGAATTGAAGGAGTGATTCAACACACGTTACGTCACAGAACTCATGTTGCATTTTCATCTTTCTGGAAACAGAGAATCTTCCCAATGTGAAACCAGGAGACATCGGCCAACCCGACCTCCCGGCGGTGGTGGATGAACTGGAACCAAACAAAAGGCAGCCGGAGGAAGCCCTCCAGATTAAAGGACCAGTGGGACTGCCGGAGAGCAAGAAGGAGGAAGAAGTGCAATTGGATCGCCCCGATGCCGGTAAGGAAACTGAACCCGGGTCAGAACACAACCCGCTTCTAAATTGGACCTCACACAGGTGTCGCCGTACCGGAGGGAGAAGCCCACCGCCACGAACCGCCGATCCCGCACGACGAGGTCCAGATAGACACCAAAAAGAACAACGCCGAGTTGGAAGAGGAAAAGAAATTAGCGGAGGACGAACGCAAACGAGACGTGGAGCCGGGCGGAGGTCAGGACGCCGCGAAAGTAGAGGAGAGTGCGGAAAACGTGCTGAAGCCGGCGGCAGTCGTTGTCAAGAAAGAGGAAGTGGACCTGGGTGGGGGCGACGGGCGTTCCAATGAGGTGCTTGAGAAGGTGGCGGAGAAGAATCGAGAAGTCGTACCCCTGAAAGAAGCTGAGGGGCTCGACGCCGCGAAAGACCAAGTGGACGCACACGCCGACGAGCCCGCAGCGGAGCGAGTCGACAAAGTGGACAACGCTGCCGAGGCTGCGGGGAAACGTGAGTGATTGATATTTACATGAGACCAGTCATTCCCAACTCGGCTCGAGCCGCTTGCCTTGCCTGGAAAACAAACGCTGCGTCTGTTTCTGGCTAGGAGACGTCATTGCCAAACCCTTTCGTTAAAAAAAAAAAAAAACGTAAAATAGATCAAAGTTGTCAAACCCTGGTCCAGCCTTGATATTTGATGTGATTTTAGCGCCACCTGCTGCTGAAGAAGCCCAAGCGGCAGACAGCAAAGATGCTGGGGATGAGAAAATGGACGGTGAGTGGAAACTTGACATTTCATGGATTTGCAATGAATAAATACACAGCGGCAATCACGTACGGCAAGTTACTGTTAAGAATACGGCTATGCGCATCTCCGACGTCTTGTGAAGGTCAACGTTTTGTGTCACCAAGAACGCCGGCAACGGTCTGCCGTATTTGCCACTCGCTACTTTTAATCTCACTTGACTTCTTTTTAATCATCGCTGTGATCCCTTCTTGCTTGTTGCTCTCTTGAAAGATAAACGCGGGGCGGACGGAAGCAGAGCCGCTTTACTCTTGACTTTCCAACATTTCAGGATGCAAGGCTTGCCATTTTTTGTTTTGCCACTTTCTCATTATGTTGTTGACTTCTGCCCCCCCTCTCTGTCTTTCTTTCTGTCTCTCCTCTTGAATCTTGACCTCTTTGCTCCTTTCTCTGCCGGATCACAGTGATAAAAAAGCTGGTTGCAGGTACGACATCCCCTTCTCGCTCCACCTTCTCTTGGTCTGTTACTAAAATCTCTCAAAACACACATCGAGCTGCGTCTGTTCACCGTTGTATTCATAATAATATAGCACCTCGTGTGATTTACTAAACGCCACATCACCACCCGTCTAACGTAGTTCTCGTTAACTGGTTCTTGGTAGTTGATTTTTTGTTCGATTCATCTGTCAAATTTGAAGTCTTTGTACACTTGCTGGACACTGCCTGAACCAAGCAATATGATGCTGAGTTTTTAAAATGAATATTGACATGTCACAGTAAAATGAGCATTTTTTTTTTTTTTTAAAATAAAGGCAAATAAATTGCTACATTTGGAAAGTGTCCAGTATGTGCGTAGCGCTCCCCCAGTCTCCTTCTCCCATTGAGACCCTCGGTCATGCTAACTTAAGGGCTTGTACGGTCTTCCCACCCCCCCGAGTCGACTGATGATTGCGTTGTTCCCCCCCCCGTGTAGAAGGCCAGCTGGATCACGCGGTGCTGCTGCAGGTCATCAAGGAGCAGCAGGAGCAACAGAAGAGGCTTCTTGACCAGCAGGAGAAGCTTCTGGCAGTCATCGAGGAGCAGCACAAGGAAATCCACCAGAAGCAGCCGGGCGGTAGGTTGACGAGATAAAACGAGATCTAGTAAAAAGGGCCCCGGCGGGAATTGCGAACAAAGTAAAGTTTATTTCGATTTCTAAAACGGTGCAACTGAGTGTTTCATCCATGAAATGCGCCGCTCCGTCTAGAGCTCCAGGAGCACGGGGAGGAAGCGGACGGAGGAGCGGCGAAGCCCCGAGACTTTGACGCGCAGCAGCCCGAAGAGCCAGCGGCCGCCGGGGCTCTGCAAGTTGCCGCCGCGGAGCCTCGCGCCGCCCTGCCGAATCCAGCTCAGGCTGCTGAAGACAAAGGACAGGAGGTAGCCAAGGTAGCTCTTGCGGCGCCTCACAAAGAGAACAACCCAGTGGAGCCCCATCAGCAGAGTGAGCTGGGGGCCAGAGGGGTGCCTCTAAAAAGGAAAATACCCGCCGTCCATCCGCCGGCAGCGAACAACGAGCACGTTGCTCAAGTCAGAGATGAGGAGGACAAGCTAGATGATGAAAAACAGCTGGAGAGCGCGGCGCGAGCCAAGATGGAGCAGCTTGAGGGGGAGAAGAAGGAAAAGGCGGCGTCGGAGGAAAGAGAAAGATTAGAAAAAGAACAGCTGGAGAGGGAGGCGAAGGAAAAGCTGGCCAGAGAGCAGGAGCGGCTCGAGAGGGAGAAGATTGAGAAAGAAGTGCAGGCTCGGGTGGAAAAGGAACGACTGGAGAGGGAAAAGAGAGAGAAGCTGGAGAAAGAGAAGGCGCTGAAGGAGAAATTAGCGCAGGAGAAGGCCATCGAAGACAGACGCCAGCAGGACATTGAAAAAGCAGACAAAGCTTTGCTGGAGAAAAAAGAAAAGGAGGCACAGGAGCGCTTAGCTCAGTTAGAGCGAGCCAAAGAAGCCCAAAACGCCGGCAACGCCGCGCAGGGGGCTCCGAAAGAAGACGGTGAAGCTTTGAAGAAAGGAGGACGAGACCTCAAAGAGAAAGTTGCCGCTCGGGGGGACTCGGGAGAGGATGGCGAAGACGGGCCGGTCAAAGCCGGAGCTCGCCCTGGGGGCTCTCACGAGAACGCCAGGGACGACGAGGGAGAGCTGGATCTAAAGCGGAGGCGCAGGGCCCTGGGACGCGGCGAAGACGCGCCGGCTCCGCAGGGGCCCGGCGTGCCCAAGGCCGTGCGCGGGCTGGAGCCCCTGCTGGAGCTGGGCGGGCCCGACCTGCACGTAGCCCTGGAGGAGAAGCTCCTAGCCGGGGCAATGGTTCACTCGCGGCAAATTAAGCAGACCTCGGAGGACGAGGAGATGAAATAACACGCATCACTCACACATTCTCTTTGACACGTCGACGTGGACAGCCTCCGGATTGACACGAAGGAGAGCGCGACGTCGTTGCCTTCGACTCGCTTGCCTTCGGAATTGTTACACGGACGTACGGTGGTGCCTTGCGACGCGAGTTTCATTTTGACCACACACAAAGCAAAGTTTAAAATTGTCCAAAGTCCTTAGTAAGCAAAGAGTTTGTACATACTAACTTATTGTCTTGTGGGGCAGAATAAAAATGATTGTTGTTTAAATGTACATACATCTATGCAAATAGATTCTGTCGAGGGTGGGTAATATCTACCATGAGTCACTTTATTTTTGCGGGGGGCCCTGCCCATTCTTGTTTTCAACATCCCGCCCACCGAAGTTGAAGTGTAAATATTGTAAATCTTCCTGTGTTGATGTCTCCATTCAACGTAATGCTGGAGCTGCCTCTTATAATGTAGGGGAATACTTTTTTTTTAACTGTTTAGTGACGCTTCAGTCATGACTGAAGAGCCTCTATTTTCCCTTTGATTTCCATGCCTTTTGTACCCATGTGCAGCAATGGTCATGTCAGGTATTTTTGCTGTAGAATTACTGTTATATATTGAACAGGCATCAGTATTGTATCAAAAAATGGAGTGCAAACCATTTTGTCAGCACGTCTCGCTTTTGTACAGAGGTTATTTTCTGACTATTTTTCTATCGACAATGTTTTAATGTGCACTCGGATGATAATAAAGGCTCCATCACACCGTTGCAAGTCGTTCTCTCAGGCAGTTTAAACCGCATAGAATGAGATTCGAACCCAGAACTGTGAGGCAGCTGTGCGCACCACTCGATCAGTTTATTAAGATTGTTTTAGAAATGTTTGAGTTTTTCCATTCATGGCACATGATAAGCCGTCCTTTTTGAGTATATTATGACACCTACATTCAGTACGTTCCTTGTCAGACGTGATTTCGCAGCATTGTTCATCTCTCAGTTGATTTCTCCAATTGCATCCAATAGGGATTTCCTGCTCATTTGCAGTTTTTCTTGGCCTGTAACAAGAGACAGTTATCAATAAAACGGACCTGCAGAACAATTTCAGACTAAGTTACTTACAGCATTTGAAAAGCACGTTTTCAGGGCAGCAAATTCTTTCGCACAATGGTCCTTCTTCAATTCCTGCTTGCTTACTGTGGTAGCTGCCACACATTTGCCATAAGCTGCTGCCTGAATAACAAACAGGACGATGGACCACATGAGAAGTGTCATGTACTGTTATTTTACGGTCTGATGTGTTAAAGAGCTTTTCGGTGTCATTGGCTTGTCTGAGGATTTTAAAACTACGTCCGTGACGTCACCTCGCCGCTCAGTCAGCTGGTTTTCAAATGCGTATTCATAAAGCGAGCTCAGAATGAACTGTGAATTAGCAGGGATTTCAATGCTTACCTCTTCCGCACATTGTGCAAAGAATTCTGGAAAACGTCTCAATTTCTCCCGGCTGCGATGCCAAACATTTGACCCAGACATAGCGCTGTGTTATGACCTAAACAGCAATTGCTTTATCTCAATTTGATAATATTAAGAACCTGAGGGTTCCGGAAAGTTATCTGACTCGTCTTTTTTTTTTCAATATGTCAAACATTTCTCTTAAATGTGGATAAAATACAAATGTACTCAACAGAGAGGAGCACTTCGTAACTACGTGGGCAGCGCCATTATGTTTTGCGTAATCAAAGACCAGCGGCGCAATATTATGCATTGTGATTCGTTCGTTGTTTTGTCAATCAAGTGAAAACGGCAGTTTTACGTTATGTGATTGGTTGCTTCAGCTTTTTAGGCGGTTCCAAATCAGCCTCTTTTGGGTAGCCGTTGACTCGGCGTCAAGACGTTTTTAGAAAGTGGAGGAAAAAAAATAATGACAACAAAAATACCTGATGGACTTTACTATTTCTGTATTCTGATTTGCCTTACTGGTTCGTCCACCAAAAGACAATACCAAATTTTCGTCCCGCGATTGGTTGCTTTCGTTTCCTAAACAGCCAATTAAGTGTCTTTTGTAGTTCTAACTTCTTGTCCAATGATTGGCTGACTGTCACATGCAGCCCCGCCTTCACTGGGCCCTTCTGAAAGATGAGTAACCCACCGCTAGGATTGCTAAATCATGGCTTCATTCATGGAACGGTTAGCTTTCCTTCAGAAAGTAAGTGACTGTTGTTTTGATCACAAGATATTAAATCAGACTAGAGCTAAATTATTTATGAACTGTTTGGCATTTTTGTCTACGTGTCACAGAAGCTATGTGTCTGTGCCAATAGCTGGCTCGCAACATAGCCTGCTAGCTGAGACTGACTTGTTGTCATTTTCCCTCATCATTGCATGTTGCCAGAGTTCCAAAGAAGGGGATGCTTTGGGAACTACGCGATAACAATAATCTCACGGGGGTCTTAACTCAAGATCTCAATGAATGTATGTAGATCTATTCACAAAATGTCTCTACCTTCCTGCACGACTGAAGGTCCCGACTCTAATGAAAGCGACAACAGATGACGAGAGCCCCTGTCCTGGCTATCTTTTCCAAGAAATCGGAAGTATCCTTTGCATTCCACGTTTGTTGCAGGCACTTCAAATTCAGCAGGGATGCACATGTTATCGAGCCCTTAACTCGCCTTGCTTTGCAGAAATCTCCCACGAGTCTTTGGCGAGTGATCAGTGTCTGTTGGAGTACCTGCTGGAGAGGCTTCAAGTCGAATCCTGTCATGTCAAACTCAAGGTGAATCGGTTTCTTAGTGTTTAGTTTATATATGCATATTCTTCGTCTATCTAGTGCAGTGTCTCGTGACAGGCATAACAATGAAAAGCTCTTTGAGTAGATAGAAGAAGGTATGCCGATGTTAGCCTTCTGTTACCATTCATATAAACGAGGTTTGGAAACTTTTTTTTTTTTTTTTTTTTAACGATTTGATCCTGGTATTTGCGGTTCAGGTGCTGAAGATCTTTGTTCATCTGTGCGGCCATGGCTCCAAACATTTCCTGACTGAACTCAGGAGGAATTCCACCTTTATTCAGCAAGCTTCAGGTTGGACATTTCTTAACTCTTCTTTGACGTTTGACGAATATTTAGCTTCTGTTTTTATTGTTTTAAGTATACAGCGGCCCTCCCGATCCCATCCACGGGACGGCTTTGTATCAGAAAGTGAGAAACAAGGCACAGGTAAAAACAAAAAATATTTCAATATTCCCAAGCCATTCGCACATCACCATACACAAAGTTTAAAAAAAATGCTGCCTTTTCCTGTGTACAGGAAGTTGCGCAGCTACTTTTCATGCACATCACCATACACAAAGCTTAAAAAAAAGATGTCATTTCCTGTGTACAGGAAGTTGCGCAGCTACTTTTCACTGATACATTTTATGTAAAAAGTGGTGTGCTGCCATTCAACGTGGCGACCTCAACAATGGGTGAGTAATAATCTGTGTCCTTTCAAACTAGAAAATCCCAGTTAAAAACATAAAAATGTCACTATTTAACGGTATGAATAATGTATGACTTCATTGTACAAACTAATTCTATTCAACTTCTGTTGATTTGGTGTCTCTCTGTCCAGGTATGGGATCAGCAGCCTCCTACAGGGCAGGAATGCAGGGCTTTGGCTACAATCCCGGCAAGCAGGGCACCAGTGAGTCACTCTTTGTACAAGTCGCATCTTCTCCCGCGCAGCTTTTTCATCACCCCCACCTCCATATCTCTGTTTTTCCGCAGGCAACGACTCACTTCTGGATAAGATCCAGAAAGCTGCAGAAGTAGTAGCCAACGCCGTCCTTCCCCCGACGGAGCACCAGGGCATCCGTCTCCACGACAACCACTACCGGGCCGTCGTGGCGCCATCTGCACCAGTAGAAGTGGGCACCAGTGAGTCACTCTTTGTACAAGTCGCATCTTCTCCCGCGCAGCTTTTGCATCACCCCCACCTCCATATCTCTGTGTTTTTCCGCAGGCAACGATTCACTTCTGGATAAGATCCAGAAAGCTGCAGAAGTAGTAGCCAACGCCGTCCTTCCCCCGACGGAGCACCAGGGCATCCGTCTCCACGACAACCACTACCGGGCCGTCGTGGCGCCATCTGCACCAGTAGAAGTGGCTGTACCAGCGTGTGCCTACAGTCTGCCTGCTCGCAGACTTAAAGGTCTATAATTGCTTATTTTCGGGTTGGCAATCAATTAATTGAACCGTATTGTTATGGATTTTTTTTTTTCATACATGTGACAGATGAGATTTTACTACCCACTACAGGATCGACCCAGCGGTGTCCAGGGCAGGTTGGAGGTGGCTGGGAAGAGACTGACAGTGGCAACTTGCTACCCACAACAGGATCGACCCAGCGGTGTCCAGGGCAAGTTGGAGGTGGCTGGGAAGAGACTGACAGTGGCAACATCTCCTCTCACAATTCATCTCAGGACATCTCAGCGGGAAGCAAGTCGGCCTGCACTGGGAGCCATTCGGGGGCCAGCAGAGAAAGCAGCGGGGACCTCTCGGAACGGTGAGCAGAGAAGCCCGTTTCCACTTGAAATTCACCAGGCAACTCCTGTTGGTAATTTCTTAACAGGTTAAATCTCGTTCTTGTGCTTCTCTGTTGGTCAGGGTCGAGGCGTTGCAGTTGGGAGACTGCGGCCAGGAGATGGCGCTCATTAGCAAGCTGATGGAAGGCTCCAGAGTGTTTCTATCCAACGAGGAGAGCCAGCACTTTATCAAAGAGTCAGTACAGCAGCGTCATTGAGTCGCGTTCAAGCTCCTTATTTGTATTTGTTGACATTAGTGTGTTTGTTTAATTCTGTCAGGTGCGGCATCCTTAACTGTGAGGTCGTGGTAGAGTTGCTCTCGAGCAGGCTGCGAGATCCCTCCGACACTGTTAACATGGTAAGAATCATTGAGCAGCCATCTGTCCGTTTCCGAAACAGTCAACCCTCCTTAGGGAGCAAGATCCACTGCAAAAAGCACAAAATTTGCAAATAATGGATGCCCCCAATAATATTTATCTTTGCCTACATTTATCACAAAAAAAAAAATCCGTATTACAAACAAATTCTAATATTGTTCTTCTCATTTTTACTTACAGAGGGCGTTGTGCGCTGTCGCCTGCCTCATGACTACTGACCTTCTGTCTCTCGAGCACATTTTTGGAGCCACACAACACAGGCTCCGTCAGCTCAGTGAGGGCCCTCCAGGACCTGTGGCCAATAAAGCCACAAAGGTACGAGAGTCGGTAGAGAGCTTTAAACATTTAAATCCAATAAGCCGGCGGGAGATAACACGGGTCCCTTTTCCTATCTGCTTCAACCAGATCCTGAGACAGTTCAAAGCCCTGATGGGTGGAGTTCACCATGCCGCCAAACAAGATCCAGCCAGCAGCAGTCATCAGATCAACCACGCATCCAGCCAACTTCTTACATCTCCATACTTGGGTTCTTTCGAACCCGCGCTCTCTCTCCATCATGATCACGTTCATCATCCGTCCTCGCCGTTCGCTCCGGACACCTGTGAAAAGCCTCCCCTGACTGAGCAACAACTGCTCCTGGCGCCTATTAGGACTGAGGTGACAGTCGCGAAAGATGAGTGTATTCAGCCTTGTGTCAGCAGACTGTCCCTGTTCAGTGGTATGAAGCTTGTGAACAGGGCGAGGCCTCTGTGCGAGACTACAACGTCTCACATGGACCCAGACTCACTACAGGACTCTCTAAAAGAGAACCAACCTGACAGCCAAGCTTTGGTTGCGTCTGACAGCGGCCAGCAGTCGTCTGCCTTCTCGTTTCTCAACTCTTGACCTCTAGCATGACACTTTGCACCCTTTTAGAACTGTTAGATATGTCATTGAGTCGTCGTCAGAAGGGATTAAGCGCTTGCCTTTTCCGATAAGGTTCCAGAGGCCATCTTGAGAATAAATATCAGTTTTGAAAACTGCTTTCAGTTATGGAAATGCTAAGTCAATTTCTACAAGATGCGGATATTCACTGGATTTGCAGAGAGTACAAACGCACAAAAAGGAGGAGTCAATTGTAGCTATTTTCTAAATTGGTATTAAATATGAATTATCAAATATTGCCGCAGACTAAGGAGTCCACTTACAGCAGTAAGTAGTAGTAATAGTACACGGAAATATAACCTGGACTACCAGTGGCCTCTGAAGTCAGAGGGCAGCCATCTTGCATTGCCAGTTACGTGTTTCATATGTATAAATTTTGTACATGGGTACAAATGTGGTGTGATATAACCTGGACTATCAGTTGCCTCTGAAGTCAGAGGGCAGCCATCTTGCGTTGCCAGTTACGTGTTTCATATATATATATATATATATAAATTTTGTACATGGGTACAAATGTGGTGTGATGGTTGACGAGGGGGATAAAAATGGACACACATGTTGGAAGTAAAGTGCAACGCTTTATTTACTTTTGCAAGCACTTTGGATCCCACTTCTCTTGTGATTAGCACCAATGAACATGTCCACACATCAATGCACGCATGTCAAGAGAATGATACCTCTTTATAAAGTGCACAGGTCACGTACGTACGTACGCACGCACGCACGCACACGCCGAACAATACTGCACAAGAAACCACAGTGGCTGGGCCATGAAAAGGCAAATGTGCTTATGGTCTTCACAAATGGTATATGGCAGGGGTGGGGATGAGCCTTACAGCCCATAATGTGTAAACGTCCCCACTCTTCATTCACCCCGTTTAGACCCGGGGGGTTACGCTCGACTCGGCTGCGAGACTTGAAAAGGTGTCAGGGACGTCGCCGGTCATGTCGAACCTGGCCGCCCTCTCGTCTGTAGACTGCTGAAGTGCGCCTCCCTCAGGACCTTGTTGATGGAGTCGTAGGAGAAAGTGCTGCCGTCGCCATGGAAACCGTGCTGCGCCGAGACCGCCGAGTCCTTGGGCTTGCCACTCGGGGAGTACTGGGGGATGCGGGTGCTCTGACTGTGGATGCACGGCCTGCTCGTGACCACCATCGGTCTTTCCGTACTGCAGATGCCACTGCTGCTATCGCTGCTTGAAGACTTGAGTACACGACACAGAAACGAGCTTTTACTAGGCTGCTGAATAAAACATTGTACAACACTGCACATGTACCTCGGAGTCCAAATCAGATACAAGCAGGCACGGACCCCTTCCTGACCTCTTGGCCTGAGAACTCAGCTGTTGATTCTCTTCACTGTCGCTGCTCCGATGCCGCTTCCTGGACACGGGGAAACATGGAAAAAGGAAAATGTTCAAATGTGGTGTGTGTTGGAAGGAATGATGCAGTGAGGAGCGGAAAGGAGGGGGGAGGATGGGGGGGGGGCGTGCATCTAAAGGAGCACCGAGATGAACCAAAAATAGCTCCGGCTACACACAATCACGGCAGTTACATGATCGAATATGACAGGGACACTGACGATTCACTAAGTTCTTTATGGAGTTGATGACATGACACTGGCATGGAATGTCAAAAATAAACCACACAATGAATTTACTGTACCTGTTATCTGTCAGCATTGCTGCAGTCTTGGCAGATGTGGCAAAGAGAAAGGTGGACACTCCCTGTGAGCTGAATTTGAAAGTAAAAAGCTTCTGGCTCGGGCTATAGCTCCACAACTATACGGCAAGACATACTCCTCATTCCTTATTTGACGTTTGTATATATGTGCGCGTGTGTGTGTGTCTGTGATGGGGCTCCAGCCGGCTCAGCAAGATGCAAGATCACACTTCCAATCGTAGCGTTCTGCTCGGTCGCTAAGTAGGGAACAGCTTAACAGTTGAACCCTCGTGAAAATCTTTTTTCAAATATCAGCATGACAAGCAAAGCCTGCGAACGTTGACACAGCTAAATGTTGGGAGCTAACTAAGCCCTCAAACGCTGCACTGTGACCAAGTTCTTCCGCTGTCGTATTCCACTCGCCCTCCTGGGGAAAAAAAAAAAGAAAACGGGAGCTGGCTGCTCTTCAGAAAGAACTAATATGGTTAAATCTTTGAATTAATGTGTCAAAAAACACGATAACGTTTAAGTTGTCGAGTCACATAAGCGACATTTTAGCTTTGCAATGACACGAGCTCGCCCGCTCGTATCAACTACAGTCGTCCCCAACGTTTCCTTGACGTCAAAGCCCCGCCCCCGATGTAGTGACGTTGCGAACAAAGGCGGAAGTAGCTACGTAACATAAGAAGTAGCTTTTGGGTCAAGACGTAATTCTCTTTTATTTACTTGATTTTCGTAACTTGCGTGTTATTTCCGTTGTTTGCATGCCTCACCCTGGATTGCATTGCTCATCCAGGCAGGTGGTTTACAGTTCATCCTGTTATTAGTCTTTCACTGCGTATACACGCGGAAGAATGCGATTACTGCTCGTCTGCACAGTATTGACATCTGAAATATACGTGCACACAAAATGGTCATATTTGGACTCCAAATGCATTTTTTTCTACAATATACTAATTTGTGGCCCCGCAACACGTATACTGTACTGGGCCCACAAAACAAAGAAAAAAAATGTTTAACCAATTAAATTTCTTTACTGATACAGTATATATAGAGGATATATCGTTGCACAAACGGGGTGTTCTTTCAAAATTAACCACGGCTCAGCAAATTTTCAGCTGCTCACGAGTAATTGGAAATAATAACCACTTAAAGCCAAGTAGGCATCACACATAAATGAACGATGCCAGTTTAAATTGCTTGTTAATTTCGTTTGATCGATGCTTTGTTCACACGATTGCCATTTCTTCTGGTAGGTGACTTGCTGCAGTTTTTGTGGAAGCGGAAAACCAAAACTTGCTTTTTGTGTTGTTGGAATCACAACGATTGAGCTGTACCCAGAAGACGCTTGGGATTTCGTATTTGGACAAGCATCTCTTTATAGGGGTAAGATTTTACTTTGTAATTCATATAGTGTAGAAAGTAAAACACTTTTCATGACTTCCAACGCAAGAGCTGAATAAAAAGGTCTACCTTAAAAGAACAACAATGATCATTTTGTTAGTAAATGTCGACGATATTGCAACATGAATGCTTCACTGAGGGTGATGACGATCGTGTAATGCGGTTGTGACACCACAGGAGGGCGCTCCAGGAAAATACTTCGCCCCATGTCCAAATTAAGGGGCGTCAAACCCTTTATATTTATTGTATTACGACACAGTCAAGTCTCGTAAAATAAAAACCACAGTTTAAAGATTAAAACAATCTTACTTTATTGCTCGTGAACATGTTTTTTTCATACCAAAAATAGTGCATCTTTGAAATGTCACAACACGTGCACGTTGGTGCAAAAATAAACGTTTCAATCAATCACACATTTCTCCTGAGCTTGGTGGGTGTCCTATAACACAAACGCAAGCGTTGATGTTACAGAAGTTGTGCAATTCCATGTACAGTATTTGCTGCTACATTGGCTTCACAGTTTGCCCGGCTATCAGGTAATTATCAACAACGACCCTGATTCCCCTGAAGACTATTTCCAAAAGTTAATTTTTTTTGGTAAACTAAAGCCATTACAACAGAACAGTATTAACTTGCGCTCGAAATAAAACACTTTTTGGTACATTAGGTATGCAAGTCAAAATTGTATCGTACGTTTCTGATCCCCTCAAAGCGACCAGTCAGCATCTTAACCCTTTCATGTGCACCCTGTAACCTAATAACATGATAAGCTATCCACTGTAGTAACCGCAATCCCTGAAAGGGTTAAACAATTTTGTCCGCTTTTTTTTTTTTTTCACCTCAGTGTCCACCTTTAGATGACCTTTGCCACCATATTCTTCACTGTTAAGACCAGCTCAAGCAACATGTCAAACCTGCGTGTCATGCCACATGACATCTGTCGCAATTCGGTTCAAGTTCCTCATGAGCCTACGTCAGCGTCTTCCGTAAAGTCCCCTCTCACCACATCAGGCCTGTCTTCGTTTAGCCTCCCTGTCCTCTTCATGCAAAGTAGTCCTCTCTTGGCAGGTCTCACTAAGCCCAGGAAGACGGCACTCACCGCCATGCCCACTGCACACGAGTAGAAGGCTGACCCGTAGTTCTGAGTCACGTCCACTAACACACCTAGAGAAGAAGTCAAATTGTTCAGCGCCGCATTATTCGGATCAATATGAGGATCGACCGAGTCCCGAAGAAAAAAAAAAAAGACTCGCAATGACATTTACCTCCGAGTGGTGGTCCAGCCAGGCCCGCGAAGCTGTGTATGAACACATAGACTCCGGCGGCGGAGGACATCCTCTCCAAGCCCACCACGTCATCCTCCGCCAGCATGGGAATATGCGTGCATGCAAGGGTCCCCATGAAGAACCCGTACACGCCGCAGCAAACCGCTAGCCCGTAAAACTCGGTGACCAGAGTAAATCCCACCAGGTCGGCGGTCATGGAAATGACGCAAGCCAGGAGGACGAGCAGCTTCCTCTTCTGGATCCGATTCTGTGTCAGAAGCCATCCGATAAAAAAGCGACCGACAATTTCAGCTACCGCCATGGTGGACAGCATGTAGGTGGCGCGATCGCGCTCGACGCCGCGACTGACGCTCAGCTCGATGATGTAGAGTTGAGGGGCGAAGAAGCCTAACGTAGCAAACAGTCCGAAGAGCGAGTACAAGATGAAGCTGCACTCTTTGAGTATGGAGAAATCCAGAAGTTTAAACCTCCTTACGGGTTTCTCATCCACTTGTTTCTCCACATCGTTCTTCTGTCCTCCAGCGCTATTGTCATTTTTGTCACCCGGGGGCAACTCTGCGACTTCATTTGTTAGTAATGTCCTCTCATCTTGCTTGCAGTTGACCTCGTAGCGGACATCGGCGTTCCTCACAAAATCCCGTCCATTTGTCTCATCGACAATCAAATCGCCTTTGGTGGCGCACTCCACGTTCCCGTGCGTGCTTTGGGCGTCCCCGTTCTTCGGAGAGGATCTGTCCGTCTCCGTCTCCTGCCTTGTTTTGGGCTGGATGACGATTGGCCGAAGCAGAGCGCCGCAAATAACGATGGTGCCTTGCAAAGCTCCGATCACCGCCATGGTGTGACGCCAGCCGATTAGATCCCTCAAAGAGGAGAAGGCTGAAGAGAAACAGCAGAGGTGGTAAGTGACCCAAAGTATGAGAGAGTCCCTCACCGTTCGTTCGAAACGTACCCGGGGCGAGAGCAAACATGGACAGGGCCTCTCCAGTGGACGCTATGGCGGTGACCAGTGAGCGGCGTCGGCTAAAATAGTGTGACAGGATTGTCACCGTGGGTAAAAATGTCAAGCAGTAGCCGAGACCTGCAAGCGGTGGGACGAAATGCGTGCTCAAAACCGACCCATGGTAGCTTGCTGAAAAGGCAAAACGAGTCATTTCAAACCTGCCACCATGCCGTAGGTGATGTACATTTGATTGACGGAGGTGGTAAAGCTCGTCGCGATGGTCCCCGCGGAGATCAGGGCGCCTCCGATCATGACGACAAGCTGGAAGCCAAAGCGGTTGGTCAGCATGGAGGAAAGAGGGCCTGCGCAGTCGGATAAGTTCACTTTAGGTCAGTCAAGGTATGAATTCACGTCACAACACTTGGACGTCAAAGTAGCTGATATCGTGTACTTTCCAAATGTCCCGAGGGGGAAAATTCTGGAAAAAATATGTCACACACTGAATGAGCTTGAACAAGGAGCAAGTCTCATGTGACTCGTGCATAATTTATCAGAAATCTTTTCAGCCAGAATGAATTAAAAGCATGCTTGTTTTTGTTTTCTATTAATTTTGGCTTTTTAAAAAATATAAATGCACATAAAATAAATCCATGAATTGAAAAAAATCATTCCGCTCTGCAGTTTATCCACTAACACTCACCGTTAAAGGTCATGACAAAGACACAGATGGAAACGATCCAGGACACCCGGCTGTTGCTCTCCCCAAATTCCTTCATCAGCTCTTGGAGGAAGATACCAAAGCTCTTGATGGTGCCGTAGGTGAAGACCTCCACCAAGAAAAAGGCCACGGCCACCACCCATCCCCAGCCTCCATCTGGGGGCTCCGTGTATACGTTCGGCCCCAAGAAATGTGGTCTCTTGAGTCCACACAGCACCATTTCTTTAAAAAAAAAAAAAAAAACAATCATCACTATTAATCTTGTGAAAAACACAATCAGAGACCTTGAGAAGGGGCCGCAGATGGAGGAACCCCCTACCAGAATGACCAGGTTGCAATAGAGGCCGACTAGGTAACATTTATCACTTAGTATGATTCTCCCGCCTCCAATTTTATTGAAAACAACACGAGACTCTTTTTATATTGAGATGAAAAATGCCAACCGAATGAGTCACGGCTTCCTGCGTGTACACCAGATTTGTGACAGGCCCAGATTTGACATATGACGACCATTTCAATACACATACTTTTTTGGTGACATTTTATTCGGTGGCGTAAATTGGTTGGCCAATATAGAAATGATCATTTAAAACAGAAATGTGCAAAATGACTCTTATTTCAAGACAGCGTTTTATATCCATAATTTAAAGTTTCATTCCGGTACCCCGTCATCGAAATCATGCACTTAAAGTGAGAGCGACTGAATCTCCTGAAATGTGTCACAACACGACTCGGGAGCCCCTTTTGCGATGTCGCGAATGTTTCTATTAGTAGCGCACGTTGAATTGAACGGCGGAGCTCCGGCGGGGCTGCAAAGTGAAGGCGGCCAACTGTGTGCGTCCGCGCGGCTGACGCAATGCTTGCTTCCCCCACACCCTACGCGCGTGTTTCCCCGGTTCTCGGTGATCCACGGTGCGACTGCAATCACCGCACGATCACACGCTCCAAGTACTCCCCGTGGCTCTATTATTAGGTTGCAACATTTTGGGGAAAGGGGGGTTGGGGGTGAAAAAAAAAACAATCTCAACAGCGTCTCATTTTTCTCGCTCGCTGTGCAAAAAATTGAAGCCGCGGTAAAGTTGCGTCTCACCTGTACGCTCCCTACCGCCAGCATAGAAAGGAGTCCCGGTGTCGAAAGTACCCGAGCCGCTTGACTCTGTCGCCACACGCGCTTCCCACTGCCCCTCATGGGAATTAGAAAGCGAAGGGTTAAGGACAAGATCTGGTTCCAGCCAGTTTTTTCTTCACACAGACGCCCAAACAACATCCCAACTTGCACACTGTACGCCTTTCGAGGGTGTGGAGGCGCTGTTCGGCCCGCGGATGTATGTCATTGGTGCGCTCGGAATCCGTCATTCGGTGAGCCGCGGATGTCATTGGTGCGCTCGGAATCCGTCATTCGGTGACAAGCGTCGCGTGGGTCGCATCGAAGTCGTTTCCACGAAGTCGAACGCTGGTTTGTTTCGTGGTAAGGCGTGGACAGGGGCGTATCTAGGTATTTGGGTGGCCCCAATTAAGTCGCACCCGGTCGTGGGATCCTCAACATCAGTTGAAGAAAGCCTGATAATTATTTACAAATATAGAGGGGGGGGGCGACTATTATTAGCAGTGGTAGCACAGAACGAAATGAGATTGTGTTTGCCGTAATGTCATATTTTGCAAAAATGACATGACAGCCAATCACCGATTTATCTGCTCAGCCAATCAGATCTGCATAAAGGCAAAGTGTTATTTTTCTGTGACCAATCTGAAAGTTATCTGTGACAAAATGCTGGAGGGATTCGCGCCGCTGCCTGTTTGTCGGATGCTGCTGTGCGGCCTGTTTTTCCACCTGGCGTCAAAGCGTGCTGCCGGGGCTCACAACAAGAAGCCCAACTTCATCCTCATCCTGGCTGACGATATCGGGCTTCAGCTCTTTAAGAATAAAATGATCATTTTTAGTTGGGTAAAAATAACCCAATCTACTGAAAATCATCAGCTACGCAACGAGTGGTTTAAAAAAAGCAACCCAGCAATTGTGTGTGTGTTTATCTGTGTGTGTACAAACGTCCTCATCCGAACCCATCTCATTTAGCAAAGCATACAAAACTTGTTGAATTTAAACAGAACTTTTTTTCTCCAAAACACGACTCTTTTCAGGCTCCGTGACAAAATGCTGGAGGGATTCGCACGGCTGGCTGTTTGTCGGATGCTGCTGTGCGGCCTGTTTTTCCACCTGGCGTCAAAGCGGGCTGCCGGGGCTCACAACAAGAAGCCCAACTTCATCCTCATCCTGGCTGATGATATCGGATGGGGTGACTTGGACGTGAACCACCCTGAGCAGCAGGCCAACAATACACCCAATCTTAACCTGATGGCAGAGCAAGGATTAAGGTCGAGCCGAATGATTGAAAAGCGCATTCAGTGGCGGCGGTCTGTAAAATCTCCCACTCTTATCATCCTTCATTCCAGATTCTCAGACTTCCACTCTCCGGCCTCAACCTGCTCCCCATCCCGCGCTTCCATCCTGACCGGCCGCTACGGACTCCGGAACGGGGTCACTCACAATTTTGCCGTGAGCTCCGTGGGTGGTCTGCCTCTGTCCGAAGTCACCTTGCCGCAGCTCCTACAGAAGGCGGGTTACTATACCGCCATGATCGGGAAATGGCATCTCGGCCATAATGGACCATATGGCCCAACTAAAAGAGGTAAGGGGGGCCTTTGACCTGACCAGGTCGTACCCGTACGAATGTGGAATTTGCACCATCAGCCATGTTGGGGTGGCCCTGCCAGAACCGGCATCGTCATCAACAGCATGATAGGTTTCAGTGACACCTTCAGATGGGTTATCTGTATATTATATTATTTCAGCCTTTGAGGAATTATTATTACATCTGTGTAGATATTTGTTTGGGTCTTTGTTTTTTTTTTTTTTAATTGATCCATCGTAAATACTACTGTAAAATAATTAATCAATAAAAACCCAATATATTTGAAAACATTTTGTTTATGTAATAATGAACGAATTATAATCCAAATAATTCTGAATAATAACATTGAAGGGAAAAAAAACTAAACAATGTTACAAGCATTTTATTTATTTTTTTTACCTCATCATTTAAAAAAAAAAACATTTTTGTACTACCTCAACAATGACCATTTTCAAAACCAAATGTAGCCCTTGCGCAAAAATCATTTGCGCTTGAAACAAATCAAGAAAATGGCTTCCGTGATGTCATCATTGGGTCTTTAAAGGTTTGTGTTAATGGGTTATCTGTATATTATTTCAGCCTTTGCGGAATTATTATTACGTCTGTGTAGTTATTTGTTTGGGTCTTTGTTTTTTTATTTATTTATTTTTTTATTTAATTGATCCATCGTAAATACTACTGTAAAATTATTCATCAATAAAAACCCAATATATTTTAAAACGTTTTGTTTATGTAATAATGAATGAATTATAATCCAAATAATTCTGAATAATAACATTTAAGGGAAAAAAACTAAACAATGTTACAAGCATTTTTTTTTACCTCATTTTTAAAAAAAAATTTTGTACTACCTCAACAATGACCATTTTTAAAAACCAAATGTAGCCCTTGCGCAAAAATCGTTTGCGCTTGAAACAAATCAAGAAAATGCCTTCACGTGTTTCAGCGTGATGTCATCATTGGGTCTTTAAAGGTTTGTGTTTGTGTTCAGACTAGAGGCAAAACCAAACCATGTCACTGCATCTCGACTTTTGACTCCTCGCCTGATATCAACCCCCCCCCCCCGCGCCTTTGACAAGGCGAATTGATCAATTTCGGGAGCACAAGACAGAAAATGGAGCCGTTTCTTGTCTCTTGAACAGGTTTCGACTACTACTTGGGAATTCCCTTCAGCAATGATATGGGATGCACCGACAACCCTGGATATGATATTCCCCAGTGCCTCGGTTGTGACTCTTCTGGAGCGCAAATCATGAGGTGGGCGGGGCTTGATTTTGCAAGCAAAATAATCCAGAGTGTGGTTTTGCAAGTATTTGATTTCAATCTCATGAATTGAGCTCTGTGTTGCATTGTGTACCGAAAGTTCACCCGAGTCTCCTCATGACAATTTTTTTACAAATGACAATAAGACAGTTGGTAGTACATTCACTGTTGTCTTCCTGCGCCGCCGAATCTCATGTAATCTGTCGTCGAGCACGTTAGCTGCAAAAGCCCCGTGTGGTCTGCGCACCTTCTGCATTATGCATGGCATTATTCTTTATCGTAGATTGCGGGGGAGTGAGCGCCTACAAATGACAATAAGACAGTTGGTAGTTCATTCACTGTTGTTTTCCTGCGTCGCCGAATCTGCTGCAATCTGTCGTCGAGCACGTTAGCTGCAAAAGCCGATTCGCCCCGTGTGGTCTGCGCACCTTCTACATTATGCATGCCGTTATTCTTTATCGTAGATTGCGGGGGAGTGAGCGCCAACAGACGGACTGCTATTCCAAAGTGGGCCTTCCTCTGATGGAAAACAGCCGCGTTGTGGAGCAGCCGCTCAACCTGTGGAATCTTACGCGACAGTACCGCTCTGCCGCGCTGAGAACGATGCGCGAGGCGAGGTAAAGCGCGTGCAAATCATCTTGAGGTTGAACATGAGCGAAGCTGCTAAATTCTTCGGCGCTGGTGTCGTTTTTTGTGTGCGAGAGGAGCGCCAGCCCTGCTGGTCCGCAGCTGTCTCGTGAGAATAAACATGTTATAAAATTCAAGGTCGTGCGAAAGATTTCAGTGGCGGCCACGAAAATACTCGTATTCCAGCCTGCGTGCAGCGCATTCGCCAGGAGTACGATTATGTGATACCGATGGAGTGTGACTAGCGGCCGTTGAAGTTCACTGTCAAACGAAACATAAAACAACATCATAAAGCAGCACATGTAGCCAGACAATACAAGACCATGCCCGATCATATTCTTTATCCTCTGCACAGAGCAATTGATTTTTAGTGCTGTACCGATGAGCTGAGAGAGGAGTTGAGACGTCTCACTGAACAATGCTAGCTGATGCTGTGCGATTGCATTTACATAACATGTTAGAATTTGTTTTTTTTCAATCTAAACTGCAACCTGCATCGACATTAATCGTCTCTTCTGTCCCGCGTGTACTTGCAGAGAGCGAGGACAGCCCTTTTTTCTCTACATAGCGCTAGCTCACATGCACGTACCCTTGGCCCCGCCGCTCGCGTCCGACGCCACCCCTTCGCCACCTCACAGCCGAGCGTACGCTGCAAGCCTGCAAGAAATGGATCGCCTGGTGGGGTCCATCCGGAGTGCCTCAAACAAAGATGATACGCTCATCTGGTTCACTGGTAAGCCTTGCGCTCCTCGACTGTGACCGGTTTGTCCGCATCCGGGCACACCCACAATCTGAAAAGCCTCTCTCGCATGTAGGTGACAACGGTCCCTGGGAGAAGAAGTGCCAGTATGCGGGAAGTACAGGACCATTCAAAGGAAAATGGCAGACCAAAAGAGGTGGAACACCTAATTTGTGCAATTTTTTTGAGCTAGTAGCTATTTACGTAATGAAAAGCCTTCCTTCCATCTCGGAATTCCCTCTTTTTTTACCGAAGTCTTGAAAAGTACCTGGGATTGAATGTGTGGAGTCTGAAAAAAACAGACAAATATGAAACACTTGATGGAATGAGGAGTTTGAGAATGTTTTTTGTTTTTTTTGCTAGGTGGGAGTTCAGCTAAGAAGACCACTTGGGAAGGAGGCCACCGAGTGCCGTCGGTGGCCTGCTGGCCCGGTGTGATCCCTGCAAACACGACTAGTGCCGCCTTGCTCAGGCATGTTCTTTCAATTGTAAATTCCTCTGAGACTTGAAACCACGCTGGCATCCTGTTCTCATTGTTGACTGCAGCACACAAACTATTTCTTTGACCGACAAATGGCACGCGTACTTTCCCTGCGTTCCTCGGAAAATAAATGACGTCCCTAATGAGAAACAGAGAAATATTTTCACAGCGGGATGGACATTTTCCCCACGCTGCTCTCCCTGGCGGGGGTGACGCCACCTTCTGACCGGCGCTACGATGGCACAGATGTTACAAGCGTCCTCCTCGGCGGTGAACAGACTGGCCACAAGGTAACAGGGCTCACTGTCTACAAAATCCACAATGCAGTCGTGACTTATTCAGATCTCAAGAGATTAGCATTTGATCATAAAATGCGTCAAGCTAACACGATGCCTCCTCCCAATTAAGAGCCATGCTTAAGTTACAAATGTGCTCGGCGCCGGAGTTGGCGAGGAGGAACAAGTTGAACAGGTTAAGAGGTGCTAAGAAAGCAAGTGCCAGTTTGAGCTGTTATAATGATCAGTTTGTTTTGGGTTTTTTTTTTAGGTGCTCTTCCATCCTAATAGTGGCGCCGCGGGGCGGTTTGGTGATTTGCAGGCAGTGCGAGCTGGGAAATACAAAGCTTTCTACATGACAGGTAGGTGGCACGCACGTCTCCTATTTCGCCACAGTTTGTCAGCACGGGCATCGCGCCATGTTTGTGTTTCTTCTGTCACGCAATTGCGTTCATTCTGCTTGAATGGGGATATCTGCATCATTATGTGCTGGACAATTGCGCAAAAAATGAGCGTTCAAGGATGGCACAAAACTGCTGAGCAAGAAATGAACATT